TTTAAATTTAAAATGCGCTTTTGAATTCAAATTTTTTACTTCTATTTTTTAAATTCAAAATACGCCTAAAAAGATATCCACAGAATCAAGTTAACTGAGATTTCTGCTGGTTCAGCTTTTTTAGGTGAAAATCAGTGTCACATTCAATTGTGGGCTCTGTTTTAAACGTGCATCTCTGTACAAAACTCGCTTTATTTTGCTTTCAGTTTATTTTTCTATGCGCTAATTTTATCTAAACGGATAAAAAACACGCAATTTATTTTAATTTTGATCCGATTAACGGTCACTTTTTTCGAAGAGGCGCAATCATGCCTGAATGAATCCAAATAAAAAAGCGACCACTCTTGTGATCGCTTTTTTTAACAACAACTGAAGCTTTAGATGGTCATATCTTCGCTCAGTGCCAAGGGATTTGGTAAAATTTTCGCCAACTGACGACATAGCGTCGTGAGTTGAGCGGTATCATTCGGCATTAAAGTCAGGTGACCAATCTTACGACCTTCACGTTCTTCCTTATTATAAAGATGTAGATGTACACCTTCTAAGGCCAAGACTTGTTCAGACTGTGGATACTGACCAATAATATTGATCATGACCGTAGGGCGAACCACTTCAGTTGAACCCAAGGGTAAGCCTGCGACTGCACGAATATGGTTTTCAAACTGAGAGCATACTGCGCCTTCAATCGACCAGTGTCCTGAATTATGCACACGTGGCGCCATTTCATTGGCATACAAACCTTTGTCTGTGACAAACAGTTCTAAGGTCAACACGCCAACATAATTCAAATGATTCAATAGGCGAGTGATGTAGTCTTGTGCAACGGGTTGTAAGTCCGCACTATTCGGTGCAGGAACAATCGAGTGCGACAAAATACCATGATGATGATGGTTTTCAGCCAATGGCCACGTTTTCACATCGCCATTTTGACCACGTACTGCAATGATCGAAACTTCACGCGAGAAGGTCACAAAGCTTTCTGCAATTAAACTTCCAGCAGGGCCCAATTCAGCCCATGCTTGTTCAATTTGCTGTTCAGAACGCAATACAAACTGACCTTTGCCATCATAGCCACCTGTGGCTGTCTTCAGCACAATCGGTAAACCTAGCTCAGCAACCGCAGCGCTTAAGCTTTCTAGTGAATCTACCGCTTTATAAGGCGCAACAGGAATCTCAAGCGCATCAAATAACGCTTTTTCAGACAAGCGATGCTGTGCAATGGCTAAAGCCTGACGCGGCGGATGCATATCTTTTTGCTTGGTCAAAACATCAACATCAGACAAAGGTGTATTTTCAAACTCAAGGCTGAAGACATCTGCACTGGCAATAAAGTCTTGTAAACCGTTTTCAGTTTTGCTTGAAATCACCGTTCCTAAAGCCGCTGAAGGGCAGTCTGTACTCACATCAAAGAACGTACATTGAATATTCAGTGGCAAAGCCGCTTGCGCCATCATGCGACCCAGCTGCCCACCACCAAAAATACCGATGGTTTTATTCATGAGGAATGCCCCGTATTAAGCTTGGCCTGGAATATTGTTGCTTGCGACTTTGTCGGTTTGTGCAGCACGGAAATCGGCTACATTTTTTGCAATTTCAGGACGTGTCAGACCTAAAATTTGCGCTGCCATAATCGCGGCATTGGTTGCACCTGCTGGACCAATCGCTAAGGTACCCACTGCAATACCTGCTGGCATTTGCACAATCGATAACAGTGAATCGACACCGTTTAAAATCGAAGACTTCACTGGTACACCCAGTACAGGCAAATCAGTTTTCGCCGCACACATTCCTGGTAAATGCGCCGCACCGCCTGCACCCGCAATAATCACTTGGATACCACGGTCACGTGCTTGTTCAGCATATTCAAAAAGACGATCTGGCGTACGGTGCGCAGACACAACTTCCGCTTCAAATGGGACACCAAGTTGCTTAAGCATATTGGCAGTGTGTTCGAGAGTGGCCCAATCTGATTGAGAACCCATGATAATTCCAACGAGAGGAGTGTCTTGTGAAGCGGCCGCATTCATTGCAATGTTTCCAGAGATAGTTAAGAGAGATAAATCTCGACTAGCGCCAAGCTTTAATAAGAGCCCCGTATTATAGACTGATTTTTCATCTCAATAAAATTTAACGGTTGTCTTTAAAGAGAAAACTCCATAATATTTTTATGAAAATATTTTTATTTTTTTCAATTTTATAAAAACTTTTATTAAATCAATATTCATCAGAGCCTTTAAACATGAAACAGATCTTCATCCTGCTCGCTTTAGCCATAAGCTCACAGAGTTTTGCCCAACTAATTCAACTCAATACTAGCCAATTTGAAAAAGACTTTAGCCTATTACAGAAACAAAAAGGCTATAACGGCCAAATTAAGAGTAATGGCTACATCCAAGAAAAGTTTTTAGTGACCGGAAAGTCGGTCATTGATGAACGTGAGCCGGTCATGATGACAGGCTATTACAAAGCAGATGATGGCAAAGATAAAATGTATTCTATTTCAGAATATCGTGTGTTTTGTGATGACCAAACCTATGGTTATGCACTCATCAACTTTGAAGCAGACGGTCAAATGAGTGTACTGACCAGTGATAGTGATTAT